CATTCAAGGTGAGATGATGCTTCACCTGGATACTTAGGAATAGAAACAGAAGACAAAGAGGACAAACAAGTATACTACAAAGGGGAAAGACGGTGATAACATAAATTAATATAATATGGAGAAGGATTTCGTGTTTGAAGTATACCTTTATGAAGGGAAATCGGAAGATCAGACTCAGGTTGCAGGATCGAATCTGGTGATGGCGATAGCGTCGGAGGATAGTCTACAATGACCTCAGGGACAGTTACGACCTTAAGGACATGTACAACCTCGAGGACAGATATGATAGACGTTGGTTGACGACGCTGATATGTTTGAAGTGGGGGGTCAACATTAGGGGTTTCTCATGGGACAGGTTCCCTAGAATGATGGAGGGTAATAGGAAATGGGACTTCCGGAAGAGGTGTGGGAGTACTTTCCTGAAGGGGTTCCAGAGTGACATAGGTGGATGCAAAATATGGCACAGACTCGGAGAAGATAAGATCGGCCAATATCAGGTATCATTGCAGAGTGTGTGAGTAGCAACGATAACCCTTTTGGGATCGATGATAACCAAGAAATACACATTTTAATGATCGAGCTAATAGTTTATCAATACCAAGGGAGAGATTATGCATAAAACATGTAGACCTGAAGACTCGAGGAGGAATTGGGTGAAGAGGAGAGTTTGGAAACAGGATTGAATGAGAGATTTTATTATTAAGGACAAATGAGGGCGTGCAATTTATGAGGTAAAACACCGTGAGCACAGCACCTCCCTAAAATCTAGGAGGGGCATTACCATGGAGAAGTAAAGTCCGAGTGGTTTCTACGAGATGTCGGTTTTTGCGTTTGGCTACCCCATTTTGTTGAGGTGTGTGAGGGCAAGATATTTAGTGTAAAATACCATTGGATGACATAAAGGTTTGAAATTGTTGGGATAAATATTCGCGTGCATTTCCACTTCTTAAGGTACGAATAGACAAACCAAATTGGGTTCTTATTTCACGATAAAATTATTTAAAAATAGAAAACAATTCAGATCTGTTTTTCATTAAAAATAGTCACCTGCAACGTGAAAAATCATCAATAAATGTTATAAAATACGTAGACTCGAAAGTAGACATGGTATGCGATGGACCCCAAACATCAGAGTAAACTAAAGCAAAATGGGACACAACCCGTTTATTGACTCATTCGGGAAAGTGACTACGAGTATGTTTCCCTAACTGATAAGACTCACAATGTAAAGTGGATAATTTAGATAAATTGGGCACCAACTTTTGTAGCTTGGGAAGACTTGGATGATCTAACTGCGCATATATAATGAGTGGAGAATTCGTGGTGGAGCATGTGGTAGATGACGTAGAGAAGTAGTAGAGGCCTTGAGACATCTGACGCCAATCGTCTGCCCCGAACTCTGATTCTGCAGAATAACATCATTGTTAGTAAAAGTGATAGAACAATTAAGGGAACGAGTTAAACGACTGACTGACAGTAGATTAAATAGGCAATTAGGTACATATAGAACATAAGGAACAAGAGAGATGATGGAATTTGAATAGTACCGATAACTTGAAATCGGGTTTGAGAACCATTTGCGACAGTAATACTCGATAAGAAACCAGAGATAGAAAGGAAAGAGAATTTTTTTTATTACTAGTAACATGATCAAACGCACCAGAATCGAGGACTCAAGGACCAAGAGAAGATGATTGAGAGACGCAAACAGATGAATTATCAGTGTGTACAATAGAAGTCGTGGAACAAGAAGCCTGGTTAGTCTGGCACCACCTGAGAAAATCCTCGTAGCTTAGTGTAGGACTCTGAAGAGAAGGTGAAGTCTACATAGTGTCTGGGTTATCAATTTGAATTGCATTTACCTATCGAGGAGGTTTGCCATACAAGTTCCAACAACGATCGATAGTATGTCCAAGCCAATTACAATGGTCACACTTAGGACGAGGTTTGGAGTTGGATGACCCTCCTCGAAGGCGGTTCTGATTATTGTCAAGAGATGCAAGAGCAACAGTGTCACATGGTGTTGGAATAACAATAGATGAAGGAGAAATCGAGCCAAATGCATGAGGTGTAGCCAAGTGCAACAATTATTCAATAACTGTATCATAGTTAGGAACAATAGTACTTGATAAAATCTGGTTACGAATGAATTCAAGTTCTGATGGTAGTCCTTTAAGTGCCATGATCATGGAATATTTACTCAGTTGTTCGACATGAGCTATTGCATCTTTTGCATAAGGCATGACTGTTACATAACTTGCTTTCAAGGTATCAAGCTTACTCAGATAAGCTTGCACATCCATATTTTCCAACTTCAGTGTGTTGAGTTTGTAGATGACACTGTATAGAGAATGAACGTCGTTGAAAAAGACTTTCTTGATTTATTGCCACACCTCATGACAAATGGAGAATGCTTGGTATTGCGCTTGGAGGTTAGGTGTTATGGAAAACCACAACACAATACACATAGAGGCATCTGTTTTCTCCTATTTAGCGAGTTTAGCGGTTGTAACGTTACTCAATTAGGTGGATAAATGCTCTTCATATCCCTGACCGTGATTTAGGGATGTCAATGGGGCGGGGCGGGGCCGGGGGGACACTTCCCCATCTTTTTCCCCGCCATCAAATTCATTCCCCGTCCCCGTCCCCGATCTCCGTCACGGGGGAATTTCTATCCCCATCCCCGTTCCCCGCAGATACCCGTTCCCCGCGGGGATCCCCATAGATCCTACATTTATTCATTAATATTTTATTTTTTTAAAATGTTTATATTTTTTATAAAAATAAAAAGCACAAAGAATTCACATATTTATTATGTTATTAAAAAATACTAGTATTTGACATTTATTATTTTTTATTAAAAATACTAATGGAACACAAAATAATAATATTTTTTTTATAAATTTCTATAAAATGCTATAAAATTCAACAAAATGAACTATAATACTTTTTAAAGTAACAATATGCCTAAACAACTAAAAAAATCCAACAACATAATTATGCTTAAAAAACTATACTTCATCAAAACTAATAAGGGATAATTATAAAATTTAGCATCATGAGTATGCTTGAAAAGCTAAAAAATACTTCATAATAAGTCAACTAAAAGCAAAAGTCAACATATCTCTATTTGCTCAATTGATAACACACGTAAAGTAGAAATATCAAAATACTTAAAACAAAGTTACATATAAATAAACTAAAATATTAAGCAAAATATATTTATAAATAAACATAAAGGAAATGACTAAAAAACCTAATCTAAAATATATATATTAAATTAACTATATTAAAATAATATGCGGGGCGGGGTCCCCGCGGGGCGGGGGTGTATTCCCCGTCCCCGTCCCCGAAATGCTCTCGGGGGAATTTTTCTCCCCATCCCCGCCCCCACGGGGGAAAATTCCCCATCTTTGGGGCCCCGAACGGGGCGTTCCCCGCGGGGATCCCCATTAACAGGTCCAAACTGACATCCCTAACCGTGAAACCACATCTCAACAACACGAGCACACGTGTTATAGTTGACTGATCTGGTTATTTTTTCACATGGAATAAGCAGAACTTTAATAAACGAGACATAATCAGTATCTCCCGTGGCTTAAAACACAATAACCGGGGAGGTCGGCGACCCATGAAGCCCACGCGCAGGGACGGCAAAGGCGTGTGAGGCGGGGGTTGGTGGCGATCGAAAGGGTGACGGGCGAATCGGAGGAAAGGCGAATCTGATGGTGGAGTCGATTTTTGAAATTGACGTCGAAAAGATTTCGGTACCGACAGTATTGCCGAAATAGAGAATAACAAAGAACTTTGAGGGGTGATACAAATCGGGGTGATGACACAGTTTGCAAAAAAAAAAAATCACCGAAAAACAATAGATCAACCGGATAAAACACTATGAAAAAATTCCTTTTAGTAAACTCTAGATACCATGTTGAAATAGAAAATACTAAGAGACATTTAGGTTAAATATATGTTTTAAAAGCACTAGAGACTTTATTATATATAAAAATTTTACAGACTATTCTATATACAAATATTCTTTAACACTATATATTTACAAATATCAACACTTATAAAAAAGACCAAAATTATAATTAAATCAAAATAGAAATAAATCTTTAAAAATAGTTCTTGAGTGTTAAAACAATATTTTCAATTCCATATCTAAAAAGTATTAAGATTTAAGGACCATATTACTAAAATCCAAATATGCAAATTATGTTGATAATTTAAAAAAAACATTAAATGAAATAATTAGCAAAAAATTAAAAGAAACAAAATTATTAATTATTAATTAATTCAGTGGTCATAGAAAAAAGTACAATTTAATCCTCTACAACTGCGATCGAGAAAAAACTAAAATTATTTAATGTCATAACTAACCACAAATCAGTTCAGCATACTTGATATTGCTGGTGAAAAAAAAATCAATCCAAATACTCTAAAATAAGATAGAAAACATCACAACAAAAAGACCAAATAGTAAATCTTTGTCTTTAATAATACTAGTTGTCAAATTAGTAGAAATTAACATTTAAAAATGAGTGTTATTGTTTCTATATATAAAATTAGACAATTTAAAAATTAAATAAATTAAAAAATTTATGTCATTTTACATTCATAAAAAATCAAATTTATCAAACATTTTAATTTAATTGATTTTTTTTCAGTTATAAATCCTCAGCCATTTAATTTGAGCATAATTTACCGTGGCACAAAACAAATCAAACTGGGGAGTTGGATAAGTGATTTGAACTAAGTTAATAGAACAAAATTTAAATTGACAACCAGAAGGAAAAAAACTAAAATGATAACTTTCATACTAATATTGTCATGTACAAAATAAATAAAAAACTGAAGCACGATGTACTAAAGGATCGTTAGTAACTTAGCATACTACTTACAATCTGCATAACAACAGAAACAGTTATTCAAGGCCAGGTTCTATCTCATCGGATTTAAGGTGGTCATATCATAATACATGCATGGTTCTATCTTAATTAAGGAGAAGAGAAAGTATCATCATGTTGTAGCAACTTCTGTTCTTGGGCAGCGTTTGCCTCGGTTTTCAAAATGCCTAGAAGAGACTCAAAAGCGCTTTTGGCTTTATTATAGGACTTGCGTTTCTTGATGCGCCTGAGGACAACATGTTTATCGAACGTTTGAGAAAGGGATTTTAACTGGAGCTGGCTTGAGATGCCATCGCCAACTTTCAAAGAGTCCTTATTATTTTCCCCTTTGTCTCTGTTGTGATAATCAATAGTACTTCCCTTCTCCCTCTCTGCAGTCAAAGCTGATTCAGAGCTTTTAACCGTAAAAGCCATTCTCGTTTTGTTGATAATAAGAATAAGAATATTGTTGTTAAAATGTTATGGTATAGTCCATGGTATATAGCTAACACGAACATAAGGTTGAAGTTCACCTGTGTTATATGGTGGTGACACAAAGAGAGACGGTGTAATAATTAACCTTATTATTTTTATAAATTCATTTATTTATTGTTGTGTACTGCTGAGCCAAAATATAGGAGTAAGGGACTGAGAGCACGTGGCTAATTACGAGACCGAGAGAAACCAACGGAAAGATTCTGTTGGCTCTGCTAAACTATGTGTTGTCAAGCTTGCATGATGCCACATTTCACTTTTTTCTACGTGGCTAGTTTGTTATGCTGAATCAACATGCATTTCATTTGCTATACTATAATACTCAATCATTTGATTTAATCATATGATATAATCATTTGCTTGAGTGTTATGGTTTACTTGTAAGGTGAGCAGTTAAATTCCAAATATATACACATATTTAACAGAGCAACAGCTTGAAAATAAAAACAGGATAATCCAAATCAAGGTATGGGTTCAAATGTATTACCCGACCAGCAACTAAAAAAATCTCCTATGATATATGCAAAACAGACATACTGTATAGGCTAATTCATTTGAACTTGACACTGCAAGTAAGTCACTGATATTCTGATTCACAAGATGAGCTAGTTTCAGCATGTCACGCCACAAACGGAGACTTCATTCCATCATATCCTATGGCTTTTTTCTTTTCGCGAACATAGCTTGAATAGTGGCAATATTATTTTTCATCATTGTGGTCAATGTAACTTAACATAAAACCACTAACTACTCTCCGCACTACAGGATTGGGAATTCTACGACATAAACGGCCGTCAATATATGCCAACAAACCAGACAAGATAAATTTGGCGATGCCCCATTTTTTAATGAAATTCACTTTCTGCACTTTCTGAATAATAGAGTTTGCAGGCTCATCTGCATGATCACCAACCTCTGGCTGCTTTTCCGGCTTAATGCTCAAAACGAACTTGTTAGCCTGCTTTCGCAGTATGCGTATTGCAAAGCTAACAAAAAGATGTTCGCACAATGTCAATAATGTTGGTCCTATTCGCCATTCCTGCAATTGTTGATTGTATACAGCAAGAAGCATATGAATTACCCTTTTCAAAAACAAGTTAAGCACACAATATGGATTAAACTTTAACTGTAAAATCTGTAAAATCACATCACACCTAACATTTTGAAATACCTCCAAACTAAATTAATGCATTCCAAGAATGCAAAGTATTAGTTTGGGAAGCGTTGATAGTAAGTATATTTTGTATTTAATATTTGATTTTTTAGTAGGACGCTAGACTCCTTAGATAGCTGATTCTGTTATAATATGATTGTAATATTATGGGATTCTATTTGCTTTGCCTCTTGTATATGTAGACTTGTAGTTCTCTTATGAGTACAATGACAAATATCCAGGTTCAAGTGGAAGTTCGACCACAAGATCTTAAATATAATAACACATAAAAAGAGAAGAATATGCTTTAAATTAGACGTTGCGAACACACATCATCATTCATAATCATGAAATGTAAGAAAAGTGATCAAAGATGACAAGAAGGAAAACATTGATACACTAAAGAGAGAAGAAAAATGCAATGAAATGATAATAGAGCCAAGCTCAATAGCACAGAACATACAGTTTCTCCACGAAGACGGCGTAAAGGATGGGAAATAGTTGAGGGATCTCCTTTTAGCAATGCCTTACTCACAAGGAACTCCTTAACATGATCCGTAATGTCATTGATAAGAGAAAGATTTGGTGGTAGGTTCTTCAGGATAACCTAAACATCGCAAGATTCCGTCACAACAAGACAGTATATGGATTTTTTTCTTAAATGAGAAAAGAAATCCATTAACAAAGTATAGAATTACAAAGAAAAATTACATGTCCTCTACAAGAATACTATTCAAAAAAATTGCAAAGAACCTGCAAACCAAAACTCAAGAATAACAATGCAAAACAGGCATCCCAATCTCAATGCAGTTAAGAAACAGAGACCCCCTTAACAAGATGCTCTTTGTTAGGGATTCAGTACAAAATAAAAGCAGATAATAAAGGGAAAACATTGTAATACTTTTAGTAATTAAAATTGAAAATAAATAAATAAAATGCAAATCAAACAAATAGTTAGCCTTTTCCCCCCAACAGACTAGTCGTAGTGCCTAACATCCTTTCATCCATTTGTTTAATATATATAATTATTGTTCAATGATTTCCCAATTTCGATGCTTTCCTGTGGTAAAATAGAACAATTATATCATGCACATGTATGCGAACATTCTCAAAACAAGGTTTTTGCTTAAACTTTCATTCCATAGAATGTGCTAGTGTTCTCCCAAGACATGAAAATGTAAATTTCCACATAATTTGTCAAGTTTCAAAAAGTCTCCTATGCATACTTCAAAAAGTCTCCTATGAAAATGTACTCATAACTTAACTATTACCTGATTGTCAATAACTCTGACTCTAAGATATTCTTGTCTATAAACTGTATCCAGCATGGCTTGGATATATCCTTCAATGTATAACTGCAGCAGGCCACGCATCTAATTAGTTACTGTGGACCTCAATGAGAAATTCAAAAATTAAACGAAAAAATAAAAATAATAGGTTTTTTTTTGTTATACACGTGTATACAAATGTGTCACAAACTGAAGTCATTATCGTAATCAATATAATTAACATTGAAAGGATATTCTAAAATGTGCCTTACAACTAACTAGCAGTTACTGACTATTGAATATTCTATGCTAGGAGTAAACCATTAATAAAACTACAACAAACACCACCACATAGTAGACTGATAATACTTAGTAACAGAAGCTATTTACGAAATGTACAAAGATATTTACATCATTTATTGCATAGTCATGTCTTATAGTATCATATCATATAAACAAATAATATCTTACATTTTATTTTGTATTGATTGCCTTGAACCTATATAAAAATATGACTTCGCTGTGTTTTCACTGAACAATGCTAAGATACTCTATCAAAATTATGTCTTAGAATTTGAGTTGGACCTAACTCATCCCTACAAAACTGGTTTGTAAGGTGAGGATTGCCCAAGCTTGCAATGAAGGCAAGTCAAATGTCACAATAAGGCGACTTGAAGCGAATCGCAATAAAGACGAAAATTTCAACACACTCCCTTCACGCTCGGGCCTCAATGAGCCGTAAATATACGATGCATGAAGCCCAACAACAAATCTAAGATAGGCTCTAATATCATCTTAGAATTTGAATAGGGTCTAACTCACTCCTACAAAAACGGTTTGTAAGATGAGAGCTGCCCAAATTTTATAAACACTGCACAAGTCATATCTCTAAGCAATGTGGGACTAAATTCACCCCTTCAAACACAACACAAAGTAGATGTTGGAAGTTGCAATGAAGGCAAACCAAATGTCACAATAAGGAGGAAATTCTAACTCACCCCCTCACACTCTGGCCTCAATGAGCCTGAAGCGTGGGTGAAGCTGGAAGCCCAACAACAAATCTAGGATGGCATTGATAGCAACTTGGTATTAGATGTATTCCTTTGTAACTGACAGGAGTCAGCTTGTTAAAAGTTCTGACATGCTATAGCAGGTCACTCTTTGCATCTATATAATGTAGATCTAAGATCTTGTAACTAACTTCAACAAGAAATAGAAAACAGTTACAGCATGAAATATTTCTCTCTCTCCCTGATTTCTAATATGGTATCAGATTAGCTTCCTCAATCCATGGCAGATTCGACTTCCTCCACCGCTGCTCATGTCTCGTCGTCGTCGTCCACCGCCGTGTTGGATGAATCGCGCCGTTTGCAGTTCGCGCTGAAGACCGCGACCAAACTCGACTCGAAGAACTTTCATCTATGGCGCCAGCAAGTTGAACCATACATTAATGCTCACAATCTCACTGATTTGGTGATTTCTTCGCGAATTCCTTCTCAATTTCTTGATGATGATGCTCGACGATCAGGTACGGTTAATCCTGCGTATTCAGCTTGGCTGCAGAAAGATTAGATGTTGCTTTCGTGGCTTCAATCTACTCTCTCGAGCGAGATTCTGTCTCGCATTCTTGGATGCACACATACGCATCAACTTTGGGATCGTTTGTTCAACTATTTTCAGAAACAAACTCGTGCGAAGGCTCGTCAACTTCGTGTGGAGCTTCGCGCCCTAACACTTGATAATCAATCTGTTCAAGATTATCTTTAGAAAATTCGTACTATTGTGGACTCGCTTGCCTCTATTGGAGATCCGGTGCCTCTGTCACGTCATATTGATGTAATCCTGGAAGGATTACCTTCAGATTATGCTTCAGTAGTTTCAGTTGTGGAAAGCAAATTTGGAGTTATGGACATTGATGAAGTTGAGATTCTTCTCATTGCGCATGAACTTCGCTTGAACAAGTTCAAGAAACAACCTGCTTCAAATATTCTCTCCCTCAATCTAACACACACTGCACCTTCCTCTCAGTCCCCTGAATCTGCTCATCCTGGAAGTACTGAGTCTATACATGTGCCTGTTTCTCAGTCCACAGAACCTGACTACTCCAGTTTTAGAGGTGGCAGATCTCACAGAGGTCTTGGTGACAGAGGGAGAGGTGGCAGAGATTCAGGTATTCAATGCCAAGTTTTCTCTCGTTTTGGTCATTCTGCCCTAGCTTGTTGGCATAAATTTAATCAGCATTTTCAACCTCCTGCTTCCTTCAATGGTCATTCCTACAATGCCACTCCCTTTCAGCAGCCTTCTCTTCAGCAAGCTCTATGGTTAACTGCTCCTATAGCCTTTGATCAGTTCAATCCTTATACATGGAACAGACCTCCTGCTGCTCAACCTAGACCTCAGTCTGCATATGCTCCACCAAGCACCTTTATGGCTAACACTGCTCCCTCCTCATCTATTGGCACTTGATATCCTGATTCAGATGCATCCTATCATGTCACCAGTGATGCTAGCAATCTCCA